CAGCGCACTGAGAAACAGATTCAGAGGCTGGAGCTGGAGGACTGGCAACTGAGGAGTCCCAGGATCCCGTATGTTGACGGGCAAGGGGGAGCTCGCTCTCACGCTACACAAGGAAACTGGCATTCCATGCAAGGCCCAGGACACGGCAGATCAGGTAGAAGGGAACAGGCATGGATGCAATCAAACTGAGCTGAAAGGGCGACAAACAAATGCACATACTGTACCGCTATACATGGGTTCAAATGTGTAACCGCCGCGACAGCATGTAAAACCGGGAGGAGGGGGGCGCTTGTAGGGCGCTTGAAGGAGGAGGGGCCAGTGAGAGGTACCTCCAATAGGTAGGAGGGCAGTCGGGGATGGGAATCAACAAATACATGTATGGACGGAGTTTCGTTTTTTTAGAAACAAAGGGGTGGGTTGGATGTCAATTATCCTCAACTCCAGCAATGACCTGTTGTTCTCGTGCTCCTGCGCATGCATGCCATTGCATCCGGCAGAGGGCTGGTTTGTTTATTATGAAAGCGCGACTGATATGATCCCATTGGCACCTATAGATGATGTGCCTCAGCAGGCGAGCTTCTGCAACCTGGTGGCCGCAGGCCTTCATCACGTACTGCAGGCACCTCCACTGCGTGTGTTGGGGGCGGGAGGCCACGCGACACATCAAATTACAGGCACCTCGCTAGAAGGCCCAAGGCCCGGTTGGCGCCCTGCTCAGGTACAAGTGCCCAGGGGAGTTGCTTCCCCGAACAACCTGGAATGAAACGTCACTCAGTCTCAGGCTCATTCACTTTTACTGCCCAACAAAGACAGGCTAATTAGGTCCATGGGACTATTACGTGTTCCGGGGCTGGTTGGGCCAGTCCTTGGCCAGTCCATAGCTGGGCAAATTATGGGCGGCCATGCTCTACTCCCAGCTCGGCTCTTGGTGCCTGCACCCGCTGCCATAGCGATATCTGAAACAACCTGGGACAGCCAATGGGCCGTGTTTCTGCCCACCGCTATCCACGCGGCCTCCAGGCTAATCAGTGTCAAGAGTGTGAGGACTGTCTCGAATTCTCTGTCCTTCCACTCGCTGCCCCTGTCTGTAATATAAGTTTCCGTGTGGAGATACTTGCGTAAGGCAAGGAGCCAACGACACTTCCAGAAGCCTGCCATATCGTGTGTCTGTACTGTCAATCTGAGCTGGAATCCAATATGGCGATGAGCTTCCGCCGCCAGAGCTATTGAAGCTCTAGACCGCATGGTGTCTCCCGCTACGTGACGACGGGTTCCGACTATCGTTTAATGGTACATGGAAACCCTCATTTTCCTTGGCCAATACACCCGCCAAGCCCCTGAGACTTACCTAAAGGCTACGCCTGAATGTATAATACGGCACCAGATATACCCAAATGATCGGCACACTTGGCAGTGCTCACTCACCTGATAGCGGCTTCCCCCGGCTGCTGACTCGGGAGCAACAAACCCTCTATGGTGGCAGTGCCAACATCATGAGAATAAGTGCTAATTATGGGGAACAGAGAAGACAACTTGCCCTACCTACCTACATGATGACAGACAGGCGAGAGTTTAATCCAATAGATTTGCGGCTCTTTACGCCCGAATCTTGCCACCTCAATATTCCAGGTAGACATGATTCGTATTCGTAGAGCGCATAAAGTTCATGACCACACCATCACCATCACCACCGTGACCAGGAACAACCAACTAAGCCTTGGACCTACTTCTGGCGTTATTTGTTTGTTTAAGTAGGCCTCGGCCACCGCGGTAGCTCGCTCCGTCATATCGGGTCGGTATCCTCGGGTTGCAATCTACCTTCCCAATTAAATCTTAACCCCATGATCTGAAGTCTCAACCAACCACTACAACCACCATAGTATCGAATATCAGATTGTGTTTCGGGGCAAGAAGTTGGTAATCAGGATTTAGCCTTGTGGCCCTTCCGATCCAAGTGCAACACTTTGCTTCAGGTCTGGGGAACGATCTGCATCATCCTGCAGTTGGAGGGAGCCAGATCCAGGTCCTCCAAGTTTCTGAAAATAGCCTCGCACTACAATTTCTTGTTGCATAAATGTATCCATATCACGGTTATGCAGCTCCCCAGCAAAAGAATGCCATGTATTCCGGATCTCCATATAACACCCAGCTTCTGCCCTCATTCTCACGGTGGGGCTCGTTTTTGGGGTCCATGAACTCATGTCTTTGCATCTGCCTGGCTTTGAAGGATCTGCCTAGGGATCTAGCAAATTAGAAGTCTTAACCGTGACCATTGTATACTACCGAGCATGCCTACATTTTCTAGATCACGTTGCCATCAGCTTCGTGTACCTACGTAGCTTCATCGTGTGGTCACGTGATACTGACATGTGCTGATCAAGACGACCATTGAACAAAGTTGCTGCCTTGCACTCTTGCAAACACTGCTGTACCTTCAAATAAACTTCATATTGGCCTGCCATGCCCGCGACAAGCCAGCCTTCGGAGCTTCCTACCCTCGCTACAGATGTCCACGTTAGTTACATCCAAAGCCTCGATACGAAAAAGGATGAGCTCGATTATTGGTTGACAGAGCATCTCCGGCTTAATGGCCTCTACTGGGGGCTAACAGCTCTTCACCTTCTTAATCGCCCAGATGCCCTCCCCGGGCAAGAAACTATAGACTTTGTGCTTTCCTGTCAGCACGATAACGGTGGCTTTGGGGCAGCACCTGGTCATGATGCCCACATGCTGTCCACAGTAAGCGCTGTGCAGATTCTCGCCATGGCCGATGGGTTCGATGACCTAGAGACCAAAGGCAAGGGTAAACAACAGGTTGGAAACTGTATGCTTTACGGATAATCTCAGCCCGGGAGCCCGTCTAATGTTTTATTTTCCATAGATATTGCCAATCTTCAGAACCGTGAAACAGGCACTTTCTCGGGCGACGAATGGGGTGAAGAGGACACTCGTTTTCTCTACGGAGCACTCAACGCACTGTCTCTTCTGGGCCTTCTATCACTTGCCGATGTAGACAAAGCTGTATCATATGTTGTGTCGTGCACCAACCACGATGGGGGGTACGGCGTGCGGCCTGGAGCCGAGTCTCATTCTGGCCAAATCTTCACGTGCGTCGCTACCCTCGCTATCGCCCAGCGCCTTGATCTGGTCGACAAGGAGAAGCTGGGCCGCTGGCTCAGCGAGCGGCAAGTTCCCTGCGGCGGTCTGAATGGCCGGCCGGAGAAGCAGGAGGATGTCTGCTACAGCTGGTGGGTCTTGAGCAGTTTGAAGATTATCGATCTCGTGCACTGGATTGATCGAGAGGCATTGATCCGCTTCATTCTAAGCTGTCAAGACAAGGAATCAGGCGGTATTTCGGACAGGCCTAATAATCGCGTCGACGTTTGGCACACATGTTTCGGGCTTGCAGGCCTAAGTTTACTCGGCTATCCTGACATGGAGACGGTTGATCCTGTTTACTGCATGCCGAAGCCTGTTATCAAAAGGATACTGGGATGAATAATATGATGCTTTACCTCCACTCAATTTTGTGTCTTCTTCTCGTATTTTGCATTTGATCATCAGCATCTCGGCCAAACCTCTCAGGCGGATCTAACCATCACTAGGAAGGAGTGAGATAAGGGAGGGAGCCAAATCGGGCAGAAATCAGAGGCTCTAGCTTCATCTCTGGGAAAGGCATTTGTTTTGAGATGAGGAGAAGAAGGATTTTGACCAAGCCCGCCTCGATGTCTAGGTTGGCAGACAAAAGCGCCTCGTTCAACATGTTTTACATGACGACGAGAGAATTGAATGAAGTCAAACCATAGCTGACCGAATACACTATGGGAAGCCCTCTGTCTACGTTGGAGTTTTCTCCTATCACATATGAAGTCTGGAAGTCCATATATGAGTAAGTCATTTGGCCCAAGCTCTTGAAGTTGCTTCTAACCCTTATACCAACATGCAGGTTCCTAATCTGCTCTTCATGAGGCACCCCGATATATCTTTTGGCTTCGATAAATTACTCATGGCAGGGAGATGAGCACAATAATCGTACAGAATATCGAGTCTTACTTCCACATCTCGAATTCTGTTGACGAATGGAAGCGAAAGCAACGTGCATCGCGCAAACCAAGCAGTCGCCAACGATACCTCTCGCCCGTATGCATCCAATTCCCTCCATCTCGGCATGAAAATACTACCTAATCTCAAGCGGAATTCATTTTTGGGTTAGATTAAGCGAATCCAAGTCCGCGGGCTGGTTAAGGAGTATTTGAACGAAGCCACTGCCGGTTAGTTGCCTGAACGGTCAGGCGCTCCTCCTCCTTCGAGCCTCCCTCCCACCACGCTTTCTTACCAGGCTCTTTCTCGCCCCAGAGCCCCCTCCTTCCCTCCCAAGTTGTCGGCTATCATCTTTTGTCTAAATATACCTACCTTCCATTCCTTATCCGCAATTGGGTCACCCGTTGCTTTACAGTCTTTCCCTTTTGGTTGTCTTGGGTTCTTAGCGGTCACAGCTTCCCCAGCTGCTTTATCAACCCCGTCATGGCCAGAAAGCAGAGAAGAAGGGTGGCAATGACCCCGGTAAGCTACTTGCGTCTTTCTAAGTGCCAGCCAGCCCTCCTCCCTTCAGTTCCTTGGACTATGTCTCGTCGAGGATCCCAATGATAATGGAGAGTTCCTATCGTGGGAGTGTTCTGTCCTCAGTCGTTGCACCGAACCCGATCCTTTCTTTGGCTTCTTCTTGATCCAGCTTGGTCACTCTGTCTTCTACGAGTTGCTCTTTTCTTAATAGCCGTTTGCCATTCCCTTTGCTCCTTTCATTCGCACGCATATCTTGCTGCTCCTTTCCCACCCAAGGCATCCGGTGTACCCTTTTGCATTCATTCTCGTCGGCTTTGATACAAAAGCCAATTTTGGCACCAAAACCCAGTCAGTCATTTCACGGGATCACCTTCAGAAACTGTCTCCTATCTCCTGGGGTCCGCCTGCGGTTGTCGCTAACATCGATATGCTAGACTATGGCATCTCTGCCTCGGTCTGGGCCAATTCCTGACACCCCGAATCCTGTAGCCAAACAGATCCCTCTTTTCTGCAGCGTTTGCCCCGAAACGCCAAATTTTTCCGATGTGTCTCATCTTCTCACGCATATTGCGTCCAAAGGCCATCTCCACCACGAGACACAAACAAAACTCAAGGCCCACCAGGATCTTGTCTCCTCGATTGCCTTGCAGCAATATGAGAAGTGGTACAGAGAGAACAACATCGAGCGTTTGCTAGTCGATCGAATGAAAGCGAAGCAAGTCAAAGAGGCTTCTAGAAACAAACGAAATAGGGCTTCTTCTGCCACGTCTATTCCAAAGGTGGCAAGCTCCTGCCAATACTATAACTTCAGATTCAAGCTAATAGTTTGTACAGGGCAATAGAAAACAACCCAGAAGATCCACAAGCAACAATACTGTCATCAAAACAGAGGATGGGCCTCTTCCGGACCTCCCAGGCTTATCTGGCTTTTTTGCATCCGACAACGAGATCGAAGGACCCGAAGAGTTGGCTGCCCTGGGAGATATGATATCCATGAAAGGTCAGGTTTGGCCTGGAATGGGAAAAATGGATTTGGCAACAGAAGAGATGAAGCGTACCCGGAACCAGAGAAAGCCAAAATCTGTTGTCGAGAAAATGCGACGCACCTCGGAGGAAATCGAACCTACGCAAGTAGTCATGACATCTCAATTTAATGTTGAGAGAGTTAAAGGCGTATACGATGACGATTCTCCTGTTTCTGACCAAGATGTAGCGGTAAGTGCGGACAGGTTCTGCCCTGACATAGCTTCATACTCACACCAACAGTCTCCGCCTCGGAGGATTACAAGGAAGCGACGCAAGGAAACTCAGCCCTTAGCGGAGATATCCTCCAACATCCCAAGAGGAAGTAGTAGCCGCATGTCGCGCCCTCACGGAACAGAGAAGCCGGCCAAGCTGGAGCCTCTGCTCAATAATGAAAGCATTGTGGACATGCCGCCCACGATCGGCGCTCCCCGAAGTCAAACTGACATATTTCACGATGAGAACGGGATTGGTAAGATGGTTGATGCTTCTTATGCTGATTCATAGCTAACATACTTTTCAGCAGTCGGTTCGAACGAAGTTTACCCTTCGTCCTCGGCACAGCGAGACTCTAGGTTGGTCTTCTCTGATAGGTCTATTAGCCAAATCCACTAATCCTATAATCCAGATTTGATCTTCGAGGACGTGGAGGGCTTCAGAGCATGCTTCAGAATTCGCATTCGGGGTTGTCCCCTCACACTTCCGCAAGAGACCTGCACACACCTGTTGGATCCCAACGAGCCTCCTCCCAGATCAGACTGTCGATGCATCCATATCTCACCAATGGAAGTCAGTTTACCCTAGGTGAGGCATATATGACAATTCTACCAATACAAAAGCAGCTCTAATATAATCCAGGGTCATTTGGTCATCAAGATCCCTCCTATGCACTGGGTGATAGTCCTCTATACCAAACCCCATCCCAGCTTTCTTTCATGCCTGGTCTTCATTATGACCTCCTTGGACAGGATAGTCACAGATTTTCCTCAAGCCATCATCAGACCGTGCCCAAGTCTGAGGATTTCTCACAGAATGATACTGATGACCCTCTCGGATCCTCCGTCTCAAACGTCTTTCTTAATTTTAGCAGTGGCAATTCGAACGCGCTTTTTGGCAACGACCGCTTGTTTTTCAACTCGTATACTCCACCAGCTAGCCATCCACCATTTGCACCTATCGGGCACAGCGCAGCGACCATTGATAGAGAAGTTGGTTACTCCACGAGTACGGAGGAACTGCTGCAAACAAGCGCAACTTCACCCGTGAAGATAGAGCCCCAGCCAAACGGGCTGCTGGAGCATGATAACGCAGGTCTACCAGAAGCCAACGAAACCATATTTGACCCCAAGAACGTTTGGCGTCTCCACGACCCGGAAAATACTTTGGACATTCCCGATGCCCTCCGGTCGGAAGGGCTGGATCTTTAAGACTGGGCATGAAGCTGTTTCGCACTTCATTGACTTGCCTTGCCTTCACATCTGGCGTTCTACAGATACGCCAACTGGATCTCTCGGAGTTTTTGACTAAAATGCACATGATAATTTCCTTCGGCCATCAAACAAACTAAAAGCACCAGTAACGAGATGAACTTTCGACACCACCTGGAATCGCTCTGATCGCCCTAGAAAGTCTACGACCTACGATCCTACCAGAGTCTATAATCGAAAACCTCCGACCAAAATTTGAAAATGTGCGGCAGCTGGGACAAGGAGTGCCCTTATTCCATCATCTGGGCATGTGATTCAATTGAGCACACGGCGTTTTGACCTTCCATTTAGCAGTCCGTTAATCCCAAAACAAAATTCGATATATCGAGTCTTTTAGCCAAATGAGTATGGGCTACAATTTATTTAGATGGGACAAAACTGAGTTTATGAATGGGTTATTGGGATTGGACGAAGAATACTTGCACGGCGATCACACCAAGGCGCGAATGGGCTTCAAAATAAATACAGGCTAATCTAAGCTTCTAGATACAACAACTTTAACCCAGAGGAAAATCATTATTTTTGCGTCTGTCCATCCATTAGTCCATCCGTGAGGTAAAAACTGTCCTATATAACCGATATACTTTTCGAACAATCTTAAAGCTGTTCGATGCTTGCTATGAGATGATCCAGATTTTGAGTCCCGTTTGGTCCAAGAGTGTCAGTCAGAGCTCTACAAGCTCCGCTAAGTTGCCTGGCCCGCATGGTCTTTTCCATGTGTTCAGATTTGAACGATGCCACGTCCAGTATTTTTCGGGGGATTCTAGCCAATCGAGCAACATTGAGACCGTAAGAGCGGTGGGCAACTCCCTCTGTGGGTTCGTAGAGAAACGTGATCTCCTCCTCGCCGTCTGGGCCCGTCTCTGCCGTAAACTTCATATGAATGTTCTTCACGCCTTCAAGACCTTCTGTAACCCGAGCAAGATTCTGATAGTGGGTGATGAAGAGGGTAAGACATCGGGTTTCGGTGACCACGTGATGAAGAACGGCCTGGGCAATGGCAGGACCATCGTGGGTGCTCGTGCCACGACCAAGCTCGTCCAGGATAACGAGGCTGCGGGGCGTCGCGGACTTGAGAATACGGACCGTCTCCGAGACCTCGACCATGAAGGTGGACTCGCCCGCGAATAAGTTGTCTCGGGCACCTGTCCGGGTGTGGATCGCATCGCAGAGGGTGAGGGTGAGGGAGTCTGCGGGGACGAACGAGCCAATCTGGCTGAGGAGGACGATGAGGGCAAGGGCGCGGACGAAGGACGACTTGCCGCCCATGTTGGGGCCTGTGATGAGGTTGGCGAGCGGTGAGGGGTTTGCTAAGCTGGTAGTAAAGGGGATGTATCCGCTCTCGAGGGTGTGCTCTGCTATAGGATGACGACCCTGGGTGATGGAGATGGAGGGAGGGGCAGAATCAGGCAAGAAGGCTGGCTTGGTGTATCCTGGCTGGGCAGCGACCTTGGAGAGGGAGAGAAGGCAGTCCAGGGTTGCGAGTGAAGAGATGGCATCGCGCAGGGGCTGGTAATCGTCTGATATCTTGCGGAGGAGATCCTTGAAGGCTTGGTCGCAGCTGGCGGCGAGGGCCTCGCGGTGCTGGTCGCGCTCAGCAGTGAGGCGTAGGATCTCGGGGGTGTGGAATCGGGAGACCTTCTTGGTTCCCGAGATCTTGGACCATGAGGCGGGGACATGCTTGATGTCGGTGTTGGGCACCTCGATGAGATATTCGATGCCGGCGACGGTCGTGTACTCGATTTTCTTCTTCTTGATTTTCTGGGCTGCTTCGGCTCGGTGGTTGTCGAGGTCAAGCTCGACGTGCGCAATGCTCATCTGATGATCTTGAATCTCTTCTGTTTGATACTCCTCGCGGAAGAATCCATAACGGTCATCTTTACGAGCGGCCTCGAGATTTATCTGCTCCAGATACGAGTTCACGGTGTCAAGGATCTGGGGAAGTGAGCAGATTGCGTCGTTGAGAAGTGGAGCATCGAACGAGGTATCAGAACTCGATTTTACGGTTGCGTATTGGTTTGCGATTCGTTGCAGAGTTTGGAGGACAGAGAGCAGCTCTGGCCGAGTGCACTTTCCGTAGTATATTCGCACCAAACTGCGCTCCAAGTCGGTCCTTGTGTTCTTTAGAAGTCTCTCGAGTTGGTCGACTGGGCCAGTGGATTGCTTCTCGAGCAACTCCTCGACAGCGGCAAGGCGAGCCTCCAGATGTTCCCTATTCAGTAATGGTCGGCCAACCCATTTCCGCAGCAATCGTTGGCCAAAGCGGGTGAGCGTCTTGTCAACCGCCCAGAAAAGACTTCCACGCTCGGCATGATCAGTCGAGTTCCGGTATACTTCAAGACTCTCGAGAGTTGTACCGTTGATAAGCATATGCGATCGGGTAGAAAAGCTCTGGAAATATTTGGTGAGGTCGAAGATGTGCTCAAGACCGTATTCTGTCAGGTGGGATATCATGGCTGATAGGCAGGTTGTGACAGGCTCTGGAAGCTTCAGGACCTTGTCCAGGATGCCATTTGCCACGCCATCTCCAGACGAAGCCTTGAGCTTGTCGGCGTAGAATTCCGTAACATGCGAATAAGCCTCCGTGGCCACAGTCTTGCTCTTAGGAACCCTCTCCACTCTGCTTCTGTCCCCGAACACGTTGGTGGTGCTACCGGACAGATGCTGTATGAGCTTTTCTGTGCCTGCACTAAGCTCTCCCACGATCAGAAACTCGCAAGGGGATATGTGCAAAAGTCTGGTTTCGACCTCGCTTCGCATGAAGCCATCCTCAAAATTATCATATATGATGTCTCCAGTGGCCGGCTGGACCGCAAGAATGCCGACATCAACCTTCTCGTCGGTGCCTAAGCCCTTGGCTTTTGTTTCTGTGATGCAGAGCAAGTAGCCACCAGCCGGCGCGCCTCCTTGTTGCACATCCAGCTCCCCGTTCTCGTCAATGTATGTTCCCTTGGTGTAGAGGTTTGTGAGTTTGCGAACGAAGGGTGTGTTACGGTTATCCCCGGCCTTCTTTAGGGCAGCCGTTTCAACCTGGCGAACAACGCCCACCTTGTGGCCTGCACCGACTAGACGTTTTGCATGGACAGGCAACCGATGGACCGGGATACTAGCTGACGCAAATTTGTCCAAATGGGCCTCAGACGGATCTGTGGATTGATAATAATTAGACATTGAACCAGAGAAATACGGTGGGCGCAAAGAAAGGGCGGGTGATAACTTACGCTCATCATATCTCATTTTCCCAGGAATGCATACGATACTAAGCTCTTTAGCGGCAATTCTTGCATCCTCGCCGAAGAACCGGAACTTGTATCCAACTTCTACGATGAGGATGGTATCCATATGCTTCCGCTTGATATCCAGAAATTGCAGCTCCATCGGGGTGAGCTTCCCGGTCTTTGCGCCTTTCTTTCTACCCTTGACTGGTGCTGGAGGCTCTTCATCTTCATCTTCGTTCTCGGCGTCTTCATCCTCTCCTGCTGGTGTGCCGCCGTCTGGTGCATTGCCCCTTGATCGCCAGGACATTGCGTCAGGGTGACCGAGCTTTTTGACAAACTTCCGATGCAATTCTTCGTTCTTCTTCTTAGTTAGAGCGTCGCTTTCATCGCCATCCTCATCGGGCCGCCTCTGGGAGCCTGATTCATCATAGGCATATCGTTCTGCTCGGGGCGTTGGTGCGTGGCTCAGGGGCGCATCAGTCGGAGGGTTGCTGTCAACCGCTTCAGATATAGGCACTACAACATTTGCAGGGGTTTTTCTGGGCTTCTTGGCTGTGCTTTTGGTGCTATTTCTGGGTTTATCGCCGTCGTCGTCGTCTGGAATCGCTCGTTTTCGTGCAAGTGGTGATGAAGCAGCGGCTAGGGGCGAGGATGGCGGCAATTGACCTGGCTTTCCGGTAACTGCTTTAGGAGTGAAAAAGGAAGTCAAAGACTGCTGCTTCTTTCCAGAGGTCGGAGCCATGGTAGTGTCGATGTGGGCTTGTGGTCATGGGTGCAGTCTTCATTGACCCAAGATCTCTGTCGTCAGCTTGAAGCTTTTTGATGGGGACTGTAGCTGTATGACGATATTCTTGTCGCGTCTTTTGGGTTGGGAGACGCGTTGAGTGGCTTGACCCGCTTTTTCAACGGCAAGGACGCAAGTGCGATTCTGCTGTGGGGCGTTTCACTGGCGGTAAAAGGACCTGCTTCACCCAGCACAGAGCTTCAATAGTAGGACACCCTTGGGTTTAGGATCACTTGTCAGTACGGCATTTCGAAATGTAGTCATTTAGATGGGTCAAATTCTAATATTTTAGTCATATAATATTCGGTGTTCCGAGCAACCTAAGTCTATTTAACCCCAGAACGGATGTTCAGTATCAACGGGCTTGGCCTTTTGGCTTAACAGGGGCACACCACTCTTATCAAAAAGGCCTCTGAGCCATAGATGCTATGCATACTGAGGTAGCAAACTAGGTGTATACCACGATGAGAAGTCATGCTTCCTGGAAGGGTTGTCGCACATCAATCCCTGCTGGCAGCTGCATAGAGCTTATGTTCTGAATGATCTGCCAAGCTAGCCCTGAAGACCCTGGGAGAAGCGTCTCACTGCAGCACAAGCCGAAGGAACCGCTGTCCTGCCGCAGAGGCCGGAATGTCACATTTCCCCAGGCTCAAAAGCTCATGCACGCCACGCCACGATGTCTCTGAAGTGCGTTAAGCGCCGAGAATGGCATATATCGCACCTTGGGTAGGACTAATATGTTGTGATACCTGCCAGGGCCCCATACCTTGGTGCCTCCTCCCACGTTAAAGTTCAACCCACCTGCCTGCTAGTGGTCAGTGCGCCCAGCGTCAAATGTGATACCTACGGGGTTAGTTCCCGCTAGAAACTGCCGTGTCTTGCCTGTCTTAGTAGGAGCAGCTCAGGTACCAACGGCATCAGCCTCGGGTTATTCTTTG